AAGTACCAAGAATTCATGGAATTCCGAAGATGCATAAGGTGCCAATTAAATTCAGATACATTACAGGAAATACAGCACATTGAAACCTTTAACTAAACTTTTGACACTTATACTTAGCCACATCAGGAAGCATTTCATGGACTATTGCAATGTTATCTTCCAAAGAAGTAAAATTAAACATTTTTGGGCAATTAACAATAGCACAACAGTAGTAAAGGATCTTAGTGGCAAGTCAGGAAATTACAAAGTTTTTTCTGCAGACTTTTCAAGTTTGTTCACAAGCCTACCACACTCGGTGGTACGAAAAAATTTGCATAAACTTATAACATTATGCATGAGAGGATACAAATTCATCGAAATTAATAACAGGCTAATAACTTCCAATTCAAATACAGCTAAAGGAATTTACTACCAGATAGAAGACATACTATATATGATAGACGCCCTTTTACATAATAGTCATACAAGCTTTGCGGGTGTGATCTATAAGCAGGAAAGAGGAATTCCACAAAGGGTCTCATGTAGTCCACAAATGGCAGACTTAACTTTAGCTTATATGGAATACGAGTATGTTAGAAGGATGGTAGCCAATAGGAATTCGGAAGACTTATATAGATTCAACAACACCTACAGATACATTAACGATATGTTACACTTTTCTTAAGAACCTATTATATTCGAACAGTCATTACAAGAGATATATCATAATGAACTTATCAGAAAAAACTAACACAAATGATACCGAAACCAACTTTTTGGATTTGAACGTACAAGTGATAGATAACAATATATCATTTAGCTTGTATAACAAAACAGATGCGTACAACTTTGAAGTGTTGAGGTACCCGGTCTGGCAATCTGTCCCAAGATATATCATCACTAACACTTTCAAAATTGAAACACTTAGAATTTACCGAAACTGTTCGGATTACATAACCTTCAAAGACAGGCTACTGCAATTATGCAAACTTTGTAAGAAAAATGGTTGGGAAAGAAGAATATCAATTAGAATTTTATGTAATACTTTAAGAGACAATCCTTGCATACTGCGCAAATATGGTTTTGATGTAGCACTTCATATACCATTAGTCCACGAAATAGGGGAACTCTGGATAGATTCCGGTTAATAGGAACAATATATGACACAATACAAGGTCAACAATCGTGTTGTTTGCGAACGTAGGAGTCCAACATAATATTGCAATCAAACTGTATATTAGGTAAGCACCAACTTTCAAATTAATGACAACTCAAGATAGTATAATTTTCTATAAAACTAAACCATGCCTCCGCATTTAGTCAACCAGTGCTAGAACATTTGATCTTCAACGTATTGCAACCGTATCTGCGCGCCTGAATAACTAGGTCGCATTCAAACTCAATATATAACAACAGTATGAGTCTCGAGATTTCAGTCCACATTATTACAATATCTTCTTGCATTCTCTGCTAGCGTCATTGACAATCTTTTGTTTCTAAGCTCATCCTCTTACATTTTCTACTTTAGTTTCAGACAGTCTCCTGTTTCTATTTATCTTTTACAATTTCTTGAAGGAATGCACTCAAAAGTTTTGCAACTGAACCATTTTTACAACTTTTGCAGCTTTCTTGGGAACTACTGAAGAGGGGCACCAAGAAAGCTACTCCACCGGTATAGTTCTAAGCCCCGAAACCGGTTGAGTATAAAAGTGTTTGAAAAAATTCATTTTAATTTCAATTCAAGCTTTAAGAACTGAAGCATATAGTAATTTTCATTCTTCAGTTCCCCTTTAGGGTTTTCCATATCCCATAAATTCAGATTTCAGGAAAATCATACTGCATTTTTATATTTTCAAATCTGCTTCAAATAACAAAATTCTTTTATTTTGCTTCCAGAAACTGCTATCCTCATTATAAATCAATCTGTAACTCAATCGAAGTGTGCACTAGTCGTAAGATGGAGGTCACTCAGACAATCATGCCTGAGGTGTTCTAGATTGTTTTCACACTTCAAAGTTGGTTAACTTGGTCATTCATAGGTGAATCAGCAAAGCTCTCGAATTTCACGACCAACACATCAACTGTTCATTGATTGCCAAAAAAGAAACAAAAAATCAAAACAAGATTCTGTGAATAGTCAAGCTTTAACCCAGCTTGCAACAAGCGTATATCCCACTATCAAATGTTATTTTTACTTGATGGTATCGCCCGAGAAACTTGTCCGCCGCAGTAAGGCGGAGCTTCAAGGCAAACACGTTATTGCCAGATCATAATCCCGCGCGCCACTGGTACCAGCTATGATTCATCTTGGCACATACCCCCTTTTCCAGTGACCTTCTTTGAACTGTCAAGCTTGTGTTTTGAAGCTATAGCTTTCTACGCTTTTTGGTTATCGAAAACAGCCGCGCACAAGATGCCAGAATTGTTTCGCAGCGGCGGAAAAGCATACGACGCTATAGTAAGATCGTCGCCTCACTGGAATTAGGTCGATGCATAATTCCTGCACCAAAATAGGTACAGACCGCAATAATCTGGAATAATCCTGTATCCCAAATAGGATTCGATAGATGGTTAGATAGAGCAAACCTAGCTCTACAAGATAGTGCTCAAATATCTGCACCAGCTTTGATCCACGAGAAGTTTTGAGCCGAAAACTGAAAAAAACCACCATGCGTTCGAAAACCTTAAGACGAATCAAAACAAAATTGTAACTTCGTTCAAAAAGCTCCTACGAAATTTCTTTCTTGCCCAGGCCTAGACATTCCACGTAAGACATTTATCTATGCGGTTACTGTATTTTTTCTCAGCTAGACGATGAGAAAACGAAGTTTTCATGTTGTTGCCAAATTAGTGCAACAAGGGAACGATACTCAATGTCCGTGGCCTTTCGAAACGTGATTTATATCTACACTCGTTTTCGAACGCTGATTCCGAATCTGCCTTCCGTTTCTGCTAATCGTTCCCCTGAAAGAAGTTATGAGAAAATTTCGAGCCAAGTTTGGCTGCTCAAGGGAATTATGGTCTTTGGAACGGCTTGTACCGCGGTCACTTTCTGGTCTAGTGGTTAGTGCAATAGCCTTATAAGTTGTAAGATGTCTTAGCACTAACAGTTGTACAGTACATGCCGTTTGCAGTGAAACTTTACATTTTCAGCCTTCTAAAACAGCTACTTCACGAGAAATGACGAATCCAGCTCTTCTTATCCGAATGTTTCTTGCTTAGTTGCTAAAAATTTGATATTTCTCGTAAAACAGCAGCTGTAAAGAGCTAAAAATTCACACTCACGCTTCTAAGGTCCTATGGTATACAAATGTCAGTACTAGACATCTCAGCATTGTTTTGGAAAAAAAAACATGAGAAACTTCGTTTTCTCAATTTCTAGCTGAGAGAAAAATACAGCAGCTGCATAGAATATCCTATACGAAATGCCAGGTGAATACCAATGGGTACTGTTATCGCTCAAGGATAATCGGAGCGGTTTAAACAAGGGAGCAAGGGTTTAGCTAGGTATTTACCCATTCTACGGTACTTAGAGGCAGTGGGTCGGCAAAACCAAACATTTCGAAATTTTGATGAGGAAGGTTGCTTGCATCCCAAACATCAGAACAGAACAGATCCGAGCGCACTACAAGCTAACCCTGCCTAAAAACTGCCCTCAAACGCGTGCGCGCAAGTCATTCTAACACGCGCTTAGACGTGTTTGCGGTCCCCTTCCACCATCAGAGGCTGCGTGCAGCAATGTATAAACATGAGGGTCCGGCAACGACTCTACGTCTCTAACCATGGCGGGGAGTGGTCCCGTCCAAATTCAAAATGAGAACCCTTGCAAATTGCTGGTTTTTGACATTTCCGTGCTTTTTAAAGTGTATTTTCGAAACCAGCGAGTCAAATCACCCCAGGTAAGCGAAAAAAAAGGTCGAGGATTTGCCGAGCCATGCCTTTAAGCACCTTGTTGAAAGGGTGCTGCATCTATCTTGTATATAGCTGAATGTCTGTCTGTCTGTGTAAGTACCTACGTATATTCATTTCCAAACCAGTCCTAACCGGTCTTGAACCACACTTTGCACTCACACACTTTGGGCGGCGCTGGTCACAGGCCAGTTTCAGTAATTGACCAATCTCGACTTTAACGATTTTTTGAAATTTTGCTGCGGTGCTAGGAGCTGGTAGCATAAATGACCATGCCAACAAATTTAATGTCATTCTTGAAAGATCAAGTACTTTTAAGAATTATTCATTTTTTTACCAGGGAGGGGGGAGGGAGTAATCCTCTTGTAAATGCCTAATGTGCTATTACTCGACTTTCTGCAAAAGTTAAGCTCCTATGCTTCATTCAATGGCATGCAGCTTCTCTAGGTTAGCCTCTGCGTATTCTGACTCCATTGTGACAAGGCTGGTACGATTGAAAAAAGCAACATAGAAACTATAAATCATGATTTTATCTACAAATAAACATGAACATAGAAAGGAAGTCATTAAGAGAAGTCACCGGAGGTGACACCGTTTTACATTACAGACTAGACAAATACTTGGCATTTCTTGGACACATTTCAAATTTCGAAATTGAGAAATGACACATACAACGAATTAGTAGAAAATCATAATCTCAGATAAACGGCAAATATTGATTTTTACTCGGAACAATAGCTATTGGAATACAGAGGATATACAAGCATTACACATGCTAAACCTAACGGAATGTCTGCGTCTCTTCTGCCAATGCGCACTCTCATCGGAAAGAATGCGATACAGAAGAAACACGGACAATCCGCAACTGCGTATGGTCCATGAGTCGTTGAGTCATCTGTATATGTAGGGATTGGACAAAGAACATGGTTAAACATTTTATAATTATCAGCTGTAAGCTACCCGAAAAATGTTCTAAGACATCGAGTAAAGTTTCTATGTTTTTGCGGCACGTGAACAAAAACTAGGATTTGCACTCAAATTATGTCTGACAAAACTACGATTGGAAAGTATGGAAAAAAACTTCCTTAAGAAGTGAAATGACAATTGCTCCTTTCAATATAATTCAAAAAGCGAAGAAAAATAATCAACGATACAGTAATCAATAAATCAATATACAGTAGGAGGCAAAAGGAAGTTCGTGTTTTCTTTTGGTACACTTTGCGACATATCATCGGATGTTGGGGAAACAGATCTAAAAGAAAATTTTTTCAAAAAGTTCTAAATTGAAAACACTCATGTCCTACCTTCTACTACTGCCATCCATAAGGCTTCCGTCGGAACTGACGTCAACAGACGGTCGGTTACGGAATGCATTACTAGTTTTACGCTGCCGTCTTAGTTCTGCATAATAGCCGTCACGTACGGCTGAGAAGACGAATGTGGTAAGAATTGACCTAAAAGGCATTTTTTGAACATGAAAGTACTACCTAATGAAATGCGAGCTGTGCGAAAGTTTCGCGCAATTCTCATGAAACTTCCGCGGAGTTTTGCAGACTCGGAAGTTCCGAAAAACACATACCAAGATCCAGCCGTTTCACTAGGTGTATGTGTAGCTTGGTCTAAGAATGTGCATTCCGTAGTCACCGCATCGGCTGTGCATGCAAAGAAATCAGGCTTGAATCCACTTGATCGGAATGGAACGTGTGATGCACCAAACTCTTCGGATAGCTGCAAAGGCAAAAATTTGAAGCTTAAAAATTGGAAAAATCAAAAAGATCGACATTCGTTCATAATTTTTTAGGTATTGGAAGCAACTCAAAAGTATTATTTGCGAGAACTCGTTCCCAATTCCACTGCGACTAGCAATCTTACATAGGTTTTGCAAGTTTTTTTCGTACGAAAACTGGTCCCCAAGCTGCTTGAGCAAACTTGATAGGTGTAAAAGCTGTACCACTATTGCCACAATCACACAAGTCATTTGCGCAGAGCTAATCTAAGAGTTCTTTCAATTTCCTACAAAATAATGGTTTCTTTGAAAAAAATATGCATAATCGATTTTTTTTGCGAAAACTGGTCCTCAGAGCATATAAATCTAATAGCAGAGTTGCATAGCGACCACATTACCCATTTACTCAAGTTATTCCGCAACGAATGAAAAATCTGCTTGGAACTTTCGCAAATAGTGCATGGATAAGCAATTGGGGACCAGTTCTCGTCTACTGCCAAATTTATTGCAATCAATTCTACAATACGCACACAGATCAAAAACTTCAACTTACCCTTTGAACTTCATCTGAATCAGTAAGATTGTCGCACACAGCATTGAGAAACACTCGCAATGCATCGGAGACTTCTGAGCGTTGCGACTAAAAATAGAAAGGTTACTGTAGCAGTATGAGCAGTATATGAAATCGCGACTGAGGGAGAAATTTTTTATTGAAGGACTTAAATTAGGTTAGTTAAAACTTCTACAGATAATATCAAAATTGTCTGAGGTGAGAGCAAATTCACTTTATTTCCATTTTTTTTCAAATGACTCGCAAAAACTCCAAGCTGTTGCAGTAAAATTAGTTTGAAGTAAAATTTCATCCAAGAAAAAATTGCGAATTCGAGTCCTGCGAAGATCTTCCCGTGCAAAATAAATTGCAACATCAGAAGGTTTGCTGTTGAGTGATCACTGCTATACGCACATTAGTCTCATCAATCTTTCGGGCACAAGCAAATCTGATCTTTGTTGTTTTTTGGGGTGTTGGTGGTGTAACAACGAGCCGGATGTACTCCATCCACGCACAAAATCTTGTATGTTCGCAAATTTGCGTCATTGCGCCAGGCTTTTGCGGAGCAACAGCCCACGCGCAACCGAAACGGCTCTGATTGATGTTCATTCCAAACAGCAGTTGCTGTTGGGAATCATCTTGGATTTGCTGCTGGAACGCCAAAGCTTGCGTTCAAATTACAATCTGAATTACAAATAAACTGATTTGTTGCACACTAGAAAGTGATTCATACTTGACAAACAATCTCTTTGGCTATTAGCACCTGCATAGTGCAACTGCGACCACATAATTAGTGCAAAATCGCGTAAACACCAAAATACTTCAAATTTTCGAGTCGATACAAATGTGATGTCAGCTGCCAGATTCCTGCCACTTACTAAGATTATCGTTCATTTTTGAGCCGTAAAAATCGGCTATTATCGTCCGGGATAAAAAAAACCTGATGGTCACAAGATGTGTTTAACTCTTAATTATAAATTCAAAAAATCGGAATACTTTTCAAATTTATTAAATTGTGTCTGTGCCTTGCACTTGTAGGTGACAAATGGTTCTTAGACAGATAGCTCTTATATTTTATAACTATTGATTTTCATTTCATTATTATTATTGTTATATTATTATTATTTTTATTATTATTTTTTTATTATTCACATTTCTTATTCATTTTATTACATTTTTTAAAAAATTACAAGCCTTGAAAAATTTCAAAAATGGGATTTTATATTCTACAAAAATTCATACTGGCTTTCTGAAAATTTTAAAAAATATTTCCAAGAAATTTCTAAGCTATAAAATGCAACTCGGCACATAACTTAGAAATTTTCCGCTTCACAAAGAGTATAGATAAATTCCAAGCATCACTTTTGCAGTTGTTCGAAGTAAATGACCATTAGTACTTGGGCGATAGTCAAGAGCTAATATAAGCCAGGGCATACTTCATGCGATTTCACCCTCACGCGATTGGCGAACTGCCAAGCGCACACGACGCAATGTCGCGATGCGCTCGCGCCGCACGCAGGTTCCAAATACGGACCCGTTTGGAACAGAAATTTGTCTTAACTTATACTCTTGCAAACAATGTGCAATTCTAAGCACTATAATCTTTGATTCAACTGGCTTGGCTCCGGGAAGGCGGGACTCTGTGACCTTATGAGGGCTGCCCGCGACGCACCTGCGTCTCTCTCGCGCCGCTCTCTGTTCATTGCCTAGTCTTAATTAGGTCACGAAGCCTGCCCTCACGAAGCCAAGCCAGTTGAATTAAATGGTATAGTATACCCAAAAGCAAATGAAGCATTTTACAGTACTTACCCTAGGTAGATTATCCAAAAATGCTTTGAAATCGTCCTTTTTCTCTATTGCACGCCGTATGATTCGATCAGCTAAAATCAGGGCATGTTCATATCATATCGATTGATTTCATCGATCAGCATCTACCTATATCATCCTTGGCATTATCGATACAATACTTGATAATTCCTCTTTGACCAGTAGTTAGGATTGGTTTTCGGTTGCCTTGTGATGACATCGAAGCTCTGAAACGTACAAAAATCAATATATTGATTAGTAGAATGCACTCGATTATGAAATCAGTTAGTAATGGAGAATGGAGGGATTAAATATGAATGTGGATAAACGGATGAAAATTGTTATGCAATCACTCAGAGTTGGTTGACTTTCAAATGAAAAAAGTTTTTTACTGACCTGCTATCAATGCTGACTCGTTTCCTGCTAACAAGATAGGTATTGATTTATTTTTCAGAAAATGTCAAGATACAAAGATGATAGAAGTTGAAGCCTTACGAATTTTTCAAAGCTGTGCATGGTGGTTGGTATTTACAAATTTTCTAATTCGATAGAAAAATTACCTGGATGCTTTTTTGTTGTTTGGTGAGATTTTTCTATCACTCTGGCTAACTTTTTGTTTACGTTTTGCAGCTTCATCCGCTTTTTCCTTGAGGTCGACTGATTTTGCGTTGCCCATATTAAGTAAATGTGTGTACAGTGACTGTAATCTGAAAACATTAGGTATAATTAGTGTAGAAATAATATACACATCACGACAGACGTCAGAACGATGGACTAGTCACTAAAGTAACGGCGAAAACAAGATTATACAACAAAATTGAAGTAGAGTCTATTTTTAGGAAGATCAGCATAAGAGACATCAAAGGACAAATGAACCGAAGATACGTATATTTTCGTGTAAAAAATACAAGAAATGAAATTTCAAATAGTAATTTTGGAAACAACTAAGCATTTTTGAAATTACTTCCGAAGAAACATCCATGAATCTTTCAATGTTTATATAGCACAGCATCCTTAGCAAAATTTTGTAATTTTTCGACCATAAGTTAAGATTTCCTATAGGAAAAATCTGGGGTAAGCGATGGAATACAAAGAAATAGAAAAGGAAGAACTCCAAAAATTAGCTTATTTTAGCTTACTACTCCATGACCTAAAAGGCTCCTTTCTTCGATAAAAATTTTTCAGCTTTTCTTCAATTATTTTTTGAGAATCCCTTAAATCCTTAATGTGTCTCTAAACATATCATTTGGAGTTTTATGGCGATTAGAAGAAGATTTCTCATAAAAGGATGTAACTATGACTGATAGGCAGCGATCGTAACCTGAAAGGCAGAATAGGAAAATCTCAAGTGCCCGAATCATGAGGTATATGCTTTGACCTTTTATAACTTGGGAGATGCGTAAAGGAGATAAGTCGATTCCCATGAGGTTCACTTTTACTTTCGGGGAAAGCAATAATCAGATATAGATGCAGTTTTGCTTAAAGATGGTCCCAAACACCTATTCTATATGTCAAAAAGAGCTATTAGGGAAAATGAGTAGACTGACTGAAATTGAATTTGACAAGCTCGGATAAAATTCAAACTTGGAAAAAGATAATGCTTTGTAATGTGCACTTCATTAATAGATCTGAAGAATAGACAACTCTCTCATTTTTATTAGTATTAAAACTGCGTTTTCCCTAAAAAATCAAGCTCTATTTCTTGTATCCTTCGGATGCAAACTTTGAAACTCTAAAATTTCCTACTCCTAAGAAAAATCAAGATTTAATAAGGGAAATGAAGGTTCAAAATTCTCCTCTATCCTAGAGGCCCTTACACAGTGAAAGGTTGTGAATCTTTTTCTCTTTCTCACGTAGCCCGCACGCTGCTAATTGGAATAATTATAGGTCGACTACTTGCGCTCACTACGTCAGCACCACATATGGAAGATATGGATTTTGTCCCAATACTGCAGAGCAAACAAATATGTCTAAAAATATTCGGTTTCCACTTCCGGAGGTCCATTTATAGCCGTTGAGACAATGTTGAGCATGTCTAAATAGCCAAATAAACGCTTTCGTCGCTACTCTCGACAAACAATCTGCCACGGTTATTGCTGTCCAATATACAGCTGTGGGCATGAGCTTCCTCATGGCTCGAAATAGATGCATTTGCAGAGGAAATGTAGATTTTGAGCGATATATAAGTTTATGGTAGAATGGTACTGTAGTTATACATAAGAGAGCAAGGTTACGATAGGTACTGTGGCACACTTTGGGCACACGGCACGTACCAGCGAAAGCAGACACTCTGGGCATACTGTAGGCATACGATAAGATATTGCCCGCAGTACGCCTAAATACTGTGGATATGCAATTTCATACTAGGATATTTTACTTATTAAGAATATGACTCAGTAACTTATGCATAGGGGGGATTACGAGAGGAACGCTAAGCATATTGTAGGTATATGGTAGGTATACGATAGGATGATGGCTTGAGACAGATAGTAATAAATCAGATGAACTTGATAAATTTTGATAACTTTTGCATATGTATCAGTACACTTTCTCGTTTACTTTTCAAAAAAAACCTACATCCAAACTTATGCATAGATTACGGGAAATGACTCTACGCATAGAGGCATACGGTAGGTATAAGTAAGGGATTCGACTCGAGATCTTTGTCGCATGTGGCATCAGTAAGCTTTTCCAATACCGTAATCATTTATAAATCCTTATGGCACACAAGTAAAAGCAGCTGAAGAGTAAGAGAGATATTTATCGGCTCAGAAAGGTAGTATGTCCAGCCACACATAGTGACAAAAAGTTGGAAAAATTATGGGCATACTGAGTATGGTAAGTATACGACAAGCCATTGAATTGATAATTTTTTCAAAACCACATATATGGCGCTAACACGCTTGCTCTTTTTCAAACCGCAATCATTTGCCTGCTGGAAAGCGTAGAATTTCCGAAACTATGCGCAGATAGTGAGGCCACAGAAATAAAAGTCTATAAGCATACTGTAAGCATACTGCATTCTCATGTGAATTTTGCCCGTAGTTTTACACTTTCTCTTCCCCAATACGAAATTGGCTTATTATAGAAAAATAGCGAGCTGAAAAAAAACAGCAAAGGAAGCTACAAGTAAGCGGAAGTAGACTTATGCTGAGAGATGATGGTAGAGGAGGATTATGACAGAATGTCCAATATTATTCGTGAATAGAGTGGACGAGTTACTAAGTGCATGTAGCATGTGTCCGGGGACCAGGAGGAGGTGAAAATATGTAATGATCGAACATTAATTTGAAAGACAGCATTTGAAACACGTGATGATATCGATGACGTCAAAAACTGTCGCAAAGCCGTTAATCAAAAACACATTCAGACCTGAAGTGATATGTATAGACGACTTTTGAAATTTCAGATTAGAGGTGAAGGGGTTCAAAAAACTAAGGCAGAAGCCGCATCCTCACTATCATTCGTTCAGACAATATTTTTCTCTACGAATTATGAAGTTTGTGAAACAGCTGCCGTAGCAAAAAGTAGAAATTTAAGAATGTGTCAGTTTCAAAACAATCATAACAAGAAAAGTGTCATCACCACTTCATTTTTGAGATCTTAAAGGTGTGTAGATATACTGTCAAAAGGTCAAGTGCTATGGTCTATCCAGATCTCAAGAGCTATTATTTACATAATATTGTTTTATAGCTCCAGAGATCTGAAGTATCAGCTATGACAGACACCTTGCGATCTCTGATCATTAAAGTGGTTGAAAATAGGTGGGGGGGGGGGGAGTGGGAAGACAGATGACGAGGATAATAAACAGGTGAGTTATAGTGAAGATAAAGTAAATAAATTCGATGGAGGGGAAAATGAGGGGACGGGATGGACGAGATGTGGGGGGAGGGATGATTTTTGCTACTTCGAAACTGAGAGGAGCTAAGACATATGACTCCACTGGCTTACATGTAGCAATTTCTGAAAAGGGAAGCTCCGAGGCAAAAATTAAGATGAGTGGGTCCAAATGCCCCGCAGATCCTACTCTCGGGGTACTTATACTCGGCTAAGCGGAACCCCCGTGATTCGCTCGATTTATGTCTTTCCTCTCCAGATGTTGATCTAAGCTCAGCTGAGTACAGTATGAGTGTTTTCACGTGTTGTAAAAAATTACTCTACAAATATTGAGTCAGAAAATTGTGAAATACAACTTGAGGACAGCTAAATATAGGAATTCTGTAAATTTGCGTGGATGAGTGAGGGCAAAAAATAGGGCCATTAGTGAGCAACGACAAACAGTGACGGGATCAACACAAAAACACTTGAGATCAGCGAAAACTGCCAATATTACAAGAGTGAAGTGCTTCCTGTTCACAACGTGTTAGAGACGGGGGGGGGGAGGAAGAATTTGTCAAAAACCCCAAATACTAGCCTCGACCCCCAATCCCCGTAATAGCCCCCGAACTACGAAAGTTTGGAGATCACCGACTGTTCAGCAGCTGCTGAAGTGATGTAAAAACGCCTGGCCACGCCCATTTTTGCCTCCGAAATGAAAAAAAAACTACGCTCGAGCTGTTTCTAGTCCGGCACATCAAAGACAACTGAGCGCCACAGCGGGATATTACAAAGAGGAAGTGAAACCCGAGAAGTTGGCCATAAGCATGCCGTGACGGAAGTGAATTTTTTTCTTGAAAAAAGGCCGTGTCTGCTCTACTGGTAGTTTCCAGGAACTGTTTTTATCAGAAACTCGCTATAAAGCACTTGACTTGTCTGCGCGCTTATAACCAAACCGGCAATGTTCCTTTACAGGGTCAATTTCAAATCTTGATTTTATTATTCAAAAGTTAAATTACTTACAAGTACATATAAAAGGCATCTGCGCAATTTTACAATTTATTTAGACTTCCTTCAGAAAATTTGCGAGCCATTCTCGAGACCCTCCCGCCTTCTCCTCTTCAGAGCGGCACTGTTGTATAGGTACTCAAAGAAAATATCTGTAGCTGATTTTTATTTCTTTATTTATATTAGTTCATTATTAATTTATTGTTATTATTTATATTATTTTCATTATTTTTAATTTTATTTTTCTTATTCTACAATTAAAATGATCTACTGATCTCTCTCTCTCTCTCTCTCTCTCTCTCTCTCTCTCTCTCTGAAAGTTGAACTGGTTTTATAAAGAGTGTTAGGTAAATGAGTAGAACAAAGCACTTTGTATACGTACTAAAGAATAAATCTGTAGCAGCTGATTTTAATTTTTATTATTACTAGCGACCCTACGGGTCGCTAGCAAGTGGGTAGGGGCAGATACAATATAAGGGCTTAGTTGTGATTATAAATTTCTAAATAAGTTTTCTATGCCTTTGCTGAGAACATCTTTGCGAAGCATTCTACAAAAGGAGAACTGTTCGAAGAAGCAATAATCTCCAAAAATCACTCAGCATTTCTCGAAATTCCTGCTGCAATCTCAACAATTTCTATAGAAGATCGTCAAGGAAGTAGAACACCTATCGTTTTGGAAGTAGAAATATCCACAACAATTGTGTACTACAAAAAACACTTTTCTCTCAGAATCAATCCGACAGCAACGAAATCAATCGTCTAAGAACTTTGTCAGAAAATTTTCTAAATTTTCTAATTTTCTAATTTCTTTCGCCAAAGGAATATGAAGCTTACTACATAAGTAGATCCCTC